TCTTCTTTCCTTCCTTCCTTCCTTCCTTCCTTCCTTCCTTCCTTCCTTCCTTCCTTCCTTCCTTCCTTCCTTCCTCCCTCCCTCCCTCCCTCCCTTCCTTTCTTTCTTTTTGTCTTTTGAGCAGAGTTTCTCTATATGTAGTTTTGGTGCCTGTCCTGGATCTCGCTCTGTAGACCAGGCTGGCCTCGAACTCACAGAGATCCACCGCCCAGCTCATCCCATAATTTTATAAGCAGTGTATTACCTTGTCTCTTTGAGGATATTAATTAAATTTTTAGAAACTCTCTCCATGCTGGGGGATGTGGCTCAGTTGCTAGAAGACTTGCTTGGCATTCAAAAAGCCCTGGGTTTGATTCCCAGCCTCATATAAACTAGACGTTGTGGAATAAGTTTGTAATTCCAGCACTCAGGAAGCAGAGGCAAGAGGATCGGATGCTGCAGGTCATCCTCAGATACATTGTGAGACTGGGGCCAGCCTAGGCTACATGAGACCCTGTCACAAAACAAAGCAAAATAAAACAAAACAAAAACTTCACATTTATTTGGTTGGTTCCTTTGTTGTTTTTCTTGGTGATTTGTTGCCTATTGAATTGGTGCCTTTGTTTATTTTATTTTTCTCTTCAAATAATTTGTCTTGGTATTTGTTTATTTCTATGAGTTTACTTTTGTTTATTGATACCTTGACTTTTCTGTTTGTTTGACTGTTTTTTTGTTTTTGTTTTTTTGTTTTTTTGTTTGTTTGTTTTTGAGACAGGGTTTCTCTGTGTAGCTCTGGCTGTCCTGGATCTTGCTCTGTAGACCAGCCTGGCCTCTAACTCAGAGATCCACCTGCCTCTGCCTCCTGAGTGCTGGAATTAAAGGCGTGTGCCACCATCACCTGAGGACACCTTGACTTTTGGTACACTGGTGGTATGGGTGAAGATTGGGGAGTGTGCAAACGACTTCAGCTCTCTGAGGGTGTACTGAAGGTCACCAGTTTCTGAGTCTATGGTGCTTTATGCATAGTTCAAATGGCCTTGAAACCACTGTGTAGCCCAAGATAACTTCAAACTTGCAATCCTCCTGCCTCAGCTTTCTGAATATTAAGACTATAGATGTGCACCACCCCTTGCAATGCCTGTTTCTTGATACCAGCAGGGGTAGAGATATGGTTCTTACCTCTGCCCTCTACCACTTCTACTGTGATCCCCTGCCTCACCCTCTGGTGCTGTGGTCCCCTCCTCACCCTCTGATGCTGTGGTCCCTGCCTCACCCTCTGATGCTGAGGTCCCCGGCTCACCCTCTGATGCTGTGGTCCCTGCCTCACCCTCTGGTGCTGAGGTCCCTGCCTCACCCTCTGATGCTGAGGTCCCTGCCTCACCCTCTGATGCTGAGGTCCCTGCCTCACCCTCTGACAGTCTCCTGGGGGTTCCCTTCCACACTGACCACATGTGCTGCTCCTAAGCTGCCCCCACCATTAGTGCTGGTCCTGCTGGCTGCACATTTCCGGCTGTGCTCCTCCTCCTCCTCCTCCTCCTCCTCCTCCTCCTCCTCCTCCTCCTCCTCCAAATTGCTCCCATCTGCTCTCTGTCTCTCCTGGAAGCCTCAAAATGTCTAGCCCACTGCTTCTCATTTTCTAATGTGGCTTGGGATGTATTTTTAGCTTTGAAATTTCTAGGATATGGTGGTAGGTGGCAGGGATGGGAGCCCATTCCTGCCGGACATCTTAGCCCAATCTTCACAATTATTGGTTCTTTCCTCCTTCCTCACCTCTGCCATCCCTGCTCAGGTCTCCTTTTCTCTTATCCTGGAGCCAGTCAGTGTCCTGCTGAGTCACATTCTTGTCCCTTCACCAGGGGATTCCAGGCAGGTGCTCTACCACTGAGCCACACCCCAGCCCCTCACTGGGGGTTTTAAGCAGGTGATCTACCACTGAGCCACATCCCCAGCCCCCTCACTGGGGGATTCTAGGCAGGGGCTCTACCACTGAGCCACACCCCAGCCCCTCACTGGGGGATTCTAGGCAGGGGCTCTACCACTGAGCCACACCCCAGCCCCTCACTGGGGGAATCTAGGCAGGTGCTCTACCACTGGGCCACACCCCAGCCCCTCACTGGGGGAATCTAGGCAGGTGCCCTGCTACTGAGCGGCCCCAGCCTCCAGAGGAGCTGATACGGCAGGCCTGTGCCCTCCTGGACACTTCTGATTGTACAGGGATTCCTGACATGCTGGTGTCTCTTTCACCCTTGCTGGCCCACATTTATCCTTCTGTACTAATGCTGTCTCTTGATGGCGGACATAACTGCAGTTAACGGATTGATCTTTCAACCCTTAGCTGGTAGTCTTTCCTAGAGTTGACCCTGCTCTGTTCCCGTAGCTCCTTGGGCTCATCAGGTGTTTGGATCCTTCCCCTTGTGTTCTGGTGCTGTAACCATGTCCTTCTCCATCATCCCCAGCTAGAGTGTCCTTTTGCTGCACGGTGGGGTTGAGTTTCCTGCATGGAATCCACAGATCAGTGACTTAGAGCCCGAGGTGATCTTCCTTTTCCTCAGTCCTTGACACAGGGGCTCTGATAGTTCATATTGTCAGCTCAACAGGGTCTAGAATCGCCATGGACACAAAACTCTGGACACGTCTGTGAGGGAGTTTCTAGTCTGGAATCCTTCAGGTGAGAATGTGGACTGGACCTTGAGGTAGCTGGCCCCACTGTCTTCACAGTCAGGAAGCAGCCTGCTTTCTCTGTCCCTAACCCCAGGGCACTGGAAGGTGCTGCCCATATTCCAAGTGGCCCTTCTCACCTCAAATACAGAGCTCTGAGAAAGCCTCACTGATACTTCCAGGGGTGTGTCTCCTAGGGGACTCTAAAGATGAACCACCACAGGCCAGAGACAGTTCAGTGTTAACTGAGAGTTCATCTGGGCTACTGCACACGCCTTTCATTTCAGCTCCTGGGGAGCTGGTGACAGCGGATCTCTGTGAGTTCGAGGCCAGCCTGGTCTACATAACAAGTTCCAGGCCAGCTAGGGCTACACAGTGAGACTGTGTCTTAGGGATGGGAGTGGGAAGAAACTAAGAATATGAAGAAAAGAGAATGAAGGAACATAAGGTAGAAAAGACCAGTGATTAGATATTGATTTATTTACCGATTCACTTACAGCTCCAAACATGGCTTCCCTTGCTACCTTGGAACAGAATGACCTGGAGAATTAGCTGACGCAATGGGTCGCTGCCCTTCACAATCTGCTGACTGCCACATAGGCGGCTGTAAAATCTTACTCTCCTGCCCCAAATGTAGTTTTAGAGTTCAGTACGGGATGCAAACTGGGCTAGGGATTGAAGCCTTTCAAGAGCTTAGGTCCATGGGTGTTGGGGACCCCAGAAGCCTCACAGCTGGTGGGGAGACTGAGTTAATAAAACTCGGAGTCAGTACCATCTTTTTAGGCGCTGGGTCAGAAACATCCAAGAGTCAGACCTCCAGTTATATTGTTACTCGTTTCAACATAGTATCACAAAGAAGTTTTAGGCACAGCTGCCTAGAAACTCTGTAGCAAAGTAGCAAAGCACTATGACCTTTGCAATAAGGATGAGTTCTATTGGCCGATACATGAGCTCAGGTATAGGGCCCAGGGAGGAAGGATTTGTATTAAGGGTAAGGATGGATGCTATTGGTGGAGGATGCAAAGTGCATGGACCACTTTCGTAAGGATGGGTTCTACTCACGGAGAGACAAAGCTCAGGGTTAGAGTGTAAACAATGCTCAGGATATGGGGGCGGGGTGTGGATTCAAGTGGAGGCTCCTAACAGAATAGTAAAGGATCACCAGGTTGTTAGGCCACTTTCCATTCCAGCATTCCAGGTGACCAGGCATTATTATTATTTTTTTGAGGACAATAGGCCCACATGACTGACAGCCCTGGTTTCTCCAATGCTTACTCTAAGCTGTGCTTCCTACACTCCTGTGACGTCTCCTCTCTTCCATCCTCATTGGCATTGGAGTGCCTTTTCCTAGAAGGAGTCCCACAGCAGGCAGATCTGGTCCAGGCCTGACGATGCTGGCTAATATTGATTATCAGGTTGGCAGAATCCAGAATCACTCAGGAGCCACAGCTCTGAGTATGTTTCTAGACTGGATTAATTGAAATGGGAAGACCCACTCCAAACGGGCAGCACCATTCCCTAGGCTGTGGTCCTGGGCTGGATAAAAAGCAGAGCACGGGCTGAGCACCAACATCCGTCTCTCTCTGCTTCCTGACTGTGGGTGCCACCTCACATTCTTGTTGCCGTGCTTTGCTGGCCGTGATGGATGGACTGCACCCTCGGACTCTGAGATCAAATCAACCCTTCGTGCCTTAAGCTGCTTTTGTTGGGTACTTCATCTTGACAGGACGCCTTTCCCCGCAGCACGATCTCCTTCTGGGAATGGCCGAGGCTAATGCGACTGTTGCTGTCCCCACAGGCACTGGTGCCATCACATGGTGACAAGGACAGTCTCCTGCCAGGTGCAGAACGGCTCCGAGACGGTGGTCCAGCGAGTCTACCAGAGCTGCCGGTGGCCTGGGCCCTGTGCCAACCTCGTGAGGTAAAGGCACCCTGGGTGCCCTGCTCGGCCTTGCCTTTCTGTTCCCTTGCATGGTGTGACCCAAGCACCGTTCTGGGCTTGGCTGGCTCGATGCTTGCAGAGCGCAGATTCTGTGTACAGGGAGTGAGGTGCACACGCCGCCGTGAGAGGGACGTGCTCGTACCTGACACATGTCACTGTCCAGGATTACTGCAGATGCTTGGGGGGAGGGGTCAGAGGAGACGGTGAGGGGTGAGGGGTGGCGATAACGAAGAAAGTAGATGAATTGTGGAGCTTGGAAATCCAGCTTTTAGAGCTGCCCCTTAGCGGCGCTGAGACAACACCGCTCCTGAGGTTTCCACAGCCAGTCCTCTCGCAGCCACACCCTCCCACGACTACACCCTCTCACAGCCTCACCCACCACAACCACACCCTCCATTAACCACACCCTCTCATAGCCACGCCCCACCAAGCCACGCCCCACCAAGCCACACCCTCCAACAATCACATCCTCCCATAGCCACACCCCACCACAGCCACACCCTCCACCGACCACACCCTCACATAGCCACGCCCCACCAAGCCACGCCCTACATTAACCACACCCTCTCGCACCCACACCCTCCCACGACTACACCCTCTCACAGCCTCACCCACCACAACCACACCCTCCATTAACCACACCTTCTCACAGCCACGCCCCACCAAGCCACGCCCCACCACAGCCACACCCTCCACCGACCACACCCTCCCATAGCCACACCCCACCAAGCCACGCCCCCATTAACCACACCCTCTCAGCCATGCCCCACCACAGCCACACCCTCCATCAACCACACCCTCCCATAACCACGCCCCACCACAGCCACACCCTCCATCAACCACACCCTCCCATAACCACGCCCCACCATAGCCACTCCCCATCAACCACACCCTCTCACAGCCACGCCCACCACAGCCATACCCTCCATCAACCGCACCCTCTTATAGCCACGCCCACCACAGCCACACCCGCCAATAGCCACGCCCCTTAAAGGCCACACCCACGCTAGCCACCCCCCCCCACAAGTCCACCCACTCCCAGCCATCCTCCTCCCGTTTCTCTCACAGCTCCACCTCTCACAACCCAGCCTCCTTAGAGATTTCCCTTGATGTCTCATTGGCTAGGACTCCTGCAAGCCTCAGTTTCCCTACTTTAAAACGGAGGGAACAGAATACGGCCTCAAGACATCGCTGGAGGAGGAAATGAGGCTCCATGATGGGAGTCCCACAGGAAGCTGACTTCTAATCAGCTCTGAGGCGGAGGCTTTTGATGTGTGGCGAAGGGCTTCGAAGCCAGCTCCAGGCGCTCAGCCCCCAGGCAGCTCCTGGTGCGGTTCAGGCTTGGGCATGCTGTGTGCCTGCATTCCTCATTCTGAGGTTAGGGAAGCAAATGCTAGCACGACCCCCACCCCGCCCCGCGCTGACTCCGGCCTATTCTTTCACTCAGAACCCCAGTTGCTCAGCATGTCTGGCCACGTTTCAACCGCAGCATTTACATAGCAGCGTTCAGGTTTCTGTATTTCTTGTCTGTTTCTCCTCCCCGTTTTTCTGAAGCTGTGTGGGGCCCAATTTTGGTCCTCCCCATCCTTTGAAGCATTCCTGGATGCCTTGATTTGTGTTGGCATAGAACCGTGGCGGGGGAAAATGGGATACATACGGATCGCACTTCACTAAAGCTTGAGATCAGTTGCAAACTGCTTGTCTTGGTGTCTGTCTGCTTTCTCCGTGGTGGTAGCATGGCTTTACTAGCTAGAGCCTGGGTCGGCTCTAGACAGTAAAGGGCTGTGGATGTGGCTCAGTAGGGAGAGCATTCACCTAGCATACATAAAGGCCTGGCTTCCGAAACCCAGCACTGCATAAAGTAGACATGGTGGAGCACGCTTAGAATCCCAGTACTCAGAAGTGGAAGCGGGAGGATCAGAAGTTCGAGGTTATCCTCCACTACCATAGCAAGGCCAGCCTTGGCTATATGAGACCCTGTCGCAAAAAGAAAAGAGAAAGAGAGAGAGAGAGAGAGAGAGAGAGAGAGAGAGAGAGAGAGAGAGCACTTCAAAGAAGATTGTTTGGGTGCCTATAATCCCAGCATTCAAGAAGCCAAGGCGGGGAGACTGAACTTCAGGCCAACCTGGGCTACATCAATGTTATGGAACAATCCTTGTACACTGTAAATATGTATTGCTCTCATTGTTAATAAAAGCTGATTGGCCAATAGCTGGGCAGGAAGAGACTGGACGAGATAGCCTGACACAGAGTGAAGGGAGGAAGAGCAGAGAGAGGAGTCACCAGACAGAGTAAGCAAGACATGCCGGAGAGGTAAATGCCACGAGCCTTGGGCCAGCACATAGATGAATAGAAATGGATTAATTTAAGTTGTAAGAGCTAGTTAGTAATAAGCTTGAGCTACTGGCTGAGCATTTATAGTTAATATTAAGACTCTGAGTATTTATTCAAGAGTGTCTGCCAGCACAGGAAAATTCCACCTACAAATGGCACCCAATGTGGGGCTCAAACCCACAACCCTGAGATTAAGAGTCTCATGCTCTACTCAAGATAGTTAATCTGGGCTTGGGAGATGGCTCCGTTGGTAAAGTGCTTGCTGTACAAACAAGAGACCTGAGTTCCATCCCCGGGACCCACGTAAAAGAGCTGGGCACAGTGGCACATGCTTGTAACCCCACCACCGGGGAGGCAGAGGAAGGTGGTTCCCTGGTGCTCTCTGGCCATCCAGAGGGACAACACCAGAGGACATAGCACTGTGAGTTACTGGGGACAGCGGTGAGTACATTTCTGGGGATGTGGTAGGTATGAAGATGGCACTGAGCTGGGGGAAACTTGGAGGTGAGGAAGTAAGAATTAGTGATTTTGCTGTGAACGGAGAGAGAGTTGGACCTGACTGAGGGACGTGGTGTAGTCGGTAAAGTGCTTGCCCCAGTTCAAGCCCCAGAACTCAGGTTAAAAACAGGGTGTGGTAGTGTCCACTTTAACCCCAGCTTGGGGAAGGGGCAGACAGGTGGATCCCGGAAGCTCACCGGCCCAGCTAAACTATAGCCAGCCTGGCTGAAATGGCAAACCCCAGGCCAGTGGGATACCCTGTCTCCAAAACAAAACCAAGGTTGACCTCTGGCTTCCACATGTGGACATGCATGTGATACCTGCAGAGAGAGAGAGAGAGAGAGAGAGAGAGAGAGAGAGAGAGAGAGAGAGAGAGAGAGGAGATCAATAAAATCAAGTAAACATTTAAAACAAGGAGCTGAGCACCAGCCTTCATTCATCACATCTTCCCGACTGCGGATGCCATGCGCCCAGCCGCCATTCTCTCCCGACGGGCTGTACCCTTGAACCGTGAGTCCAGATCAATCCTTCCTCCTCCATGGGTCAGGTGTTTTGCCACAGCACTAACAAAGGACCTGGAGACAGGAAGGACCATCTGGGCTTCCTTGCTTAGTGCCTCAGTTTCCCAGTTGGTGCATGGAGACGACCCCTAATCTCTTCCTTGAGAATAGTGGAGAATAGGCTCGGTTTGTGTCTGTTCCTTGCAGTGAGCGTCAGATGGTGTGGATGCCACCCTTGGGTGCCACCCCCAGTCCCTCAGTCAGACATTGGCAGTGGTGAGCCTGCTTTCAGAAGGTCTGCCAGACCTGGAGGAAGGAGTCACCTAGGGGCTGAGGGGTGGGTTACTGTGCCCCACCAGGCTCCTCTGCCCTTGGCGGACTCCGTAGCCCCTCTGAGGTCTTTGATGGCATTCCAGCCAACCTTTTCCAGATGTGCAGAGCGGAGGGCTTTGTGGGAACTCTCCAGGGCGTCATCAGCTCCTCATTCCTCCTCTGCCAGACGATCCCCTGCCGGCCGGCCCCCGGCTCTGGTGGGGTTGCCTGCTGCTGGGGGGCAGACTCCTGCCAGGCTAAATGGAGTTCTGATTTAAATACTTTAAGATGTGGTCTTTCCTTCCTGTCCCTCCTCCTCTCCCCTCCCATTCTTCCTCCTCTCTCTTGTCCCCCTCCTCCCCCTTCTCCTCCTCCTCTTCCTCACCCTGACTATGGAGTGGAAGCTCAGAGGCCCCCATGTCTGGGTGATGCCTCCCATCTCTGTGGACCTGAGCTACAAGGAAGAGGCTGTCTGCTGGGTCTGCTGTGTTTTCCCTTTTTTTTCTGTGTGTGTGTGTGTGTGTGTGTGTGTGTGTGTGTGTGTTTGTGCGTGTGCGCGTGTGCGCGCATGTGCACATGCGTGCATGTGTGCACATGCAAAAACGTGTGCAGGTGCACAGGTCTATCTCAGGTGGCACTAGAGTTTCCACCTTGGTTTTTGATACATGATCCCTCGTGAAAGCCTGGAATTTACCAATTTGGCTAGGCTCCCCGGCTAGCAAGCCCCAGAGATCCACCTGTCTCCACCTTGACACTTAAATATTATTATTACGGTTGTTATCATAGTTGGTGTGTGTGTGTGTGTGTGTGTGTGTGTGTGTGTGTGTGTGTGTGTGTGTTGTGAATGTGCAGGTCAGAAGCCAAATTTTATGGAGGCAATTGCCTCCTTCCACATTTATGAGGGCTCCAGGAACTGAACTCCGATCTCTAGGCTTATGTGGCAAGCCCTTCATTCACTGAGCCATCTTGCTGGCCCGTGACTGACATTTCCACGTGGGTACTGGGCATCAGGTCTGATCCTCATCCTTTCAAGTGCCTTTACCCACTGAGCTCTCTCTCCAGCCTCCCCCTGACTTCAGCGTTGTTTGAGATGAAGTCTACTCACTAGGTAGCCTGGGCTGATCTTAAACTCACAATTCTCTTGCCTTAGTCTCTCAAGAGCGGAGATCACAGGGAATCCCAAGTGCTGAGCTATCATGACTGGCTGCTGCCCCTTCCATCTGACCCTGGGGAATGCCAAAGGCCAGGGACAACCCCTCCCGCCTCAGGATTGCAGTGGGAACCCCCCCCTGCCTGCTGTGACCCAGGAGGCAAATAATCCTCCCCCAGCACTGC